GTGTTCCTATATAAATGTATTTATAAAAACAGATGCCAACTATGGGCCCTTAAAAATGCAAAGATATACTTTACTACAATACTGTTTGTTATACAAGACAACAAATAAATATATACTAATATATATTAATTCATAATAAAATACACATAAATAGGGCACTCAATAATCCACATTGAATCAGAACAATGAAATAGTAGGAAAATATTTGAAAGAATGTGATATAACCATCTAAAAGCATAAAAAATCTCCAAGGTAAGTTACTAAAGGAAAAAAAGCAAGGTGCAGAACTTTACATATAATAAAGTGTATAAAAAGAAAAAATAATGTAGGTACACTTATTTTTCTAATTTTACATACAGATACGTAAGAAACAGTGCTTTTATCTGGAGAGTTGGAGTAATGGTCAGACTTATTTAAAATAATACTTTCTATTTTAACACCTTTTGAGTTTTTGTCATAAGCATGTAAATTTCATAACTAGCAATGAGTATTTAATAGCACACAAGGAGTATTTAATAAGTGTTATGTGACTAACTAGTAACCAGAGTTTTGGTCAAATAGGCACATGGCGATAAAAGCCAGTTTTGAAGCAATTACAGAGTAACAATGGTGTTACAGGAAAAGTAAACTGTGTTACAGCAACCATAAAGCATTACAGCTGACTCTCCCGTAGCCCTTCTCTCAGATTCTGGGTCAGTTTCCAAACTGACTAAACCAACTGATAATGCCATTTCTCCCCAACGTCTAGTTCAAGGGCTGCCAGTATTAAGGCAAAGATCTGAAGTGCTATAGAAAATCTCAAAATGTAATAGGGAATCAGTAAAAGATTAATGAAAGCATTATGTCCAAATTTCTGAAGCTGGAGATTTAGCTCAGTGGTTCCACCACCTGCCTTGCAAGCGTAAGGACCCAAGTTCTATCCCTGGTACCAAATATCTGAGATTCTCAGTATCATTACCTAAGTGGCATCTAGGGGGAAGGAACAGACCACAGATGGATATTACTCAAATTAGAGTAGAAGACTGAGAAAAGAAATTTTAGGACACTATCAAAGCAATCAAAGCAATACCTGATTATAAATAAGTTTGAGTCTGGATATAAACAAACCTAGAAGGCCAGGGATTAAGTTCAATGCCCAGTACAAAAAAAAAAAAAAAATTCAGATAAGGTCACATCTTAGATGTATGTCCTTGCAGTAACAAATTACTTACCTTCTCTAAATACTGTTTTATCATTAAGAGTATTGTATCTCATATTGAGGATATACTCTTAAGTGAAATAAATAAGTCACACATGTATAAATACTGAATAGTTTCTCTGCTGTGAAAAATTATAATGGTACATAAGATCCTAATGATATAATTCACAATGTGAAAGAGGAAGAAAAGAGATAAAGGTGTAGGGGAAATGGGAAGGATAGGGGAAAGATAATAAGGGAAAAGGAAAAAATGAGAAAATGAAAAAATGGAAATAAAGTATTTGTAAATAGGAAAGCGAGGAGGGGGTGAAGGGAGGGCAGGGGTAAGGGAAAAAAATGAGAACTGAGACCTGTCCTGTAAAGGTACAAGATCCCAATGATGAATGTAACTATACTGTATACCTAAAATGTACCAATAAACTCAATGAGGAAAAAAAAAGAGTACTGTATCTACTTCAGAAGGTTATTGTAAAGTTCACCCGAGATAAGTCATAAAAAGCATTAAATAATGTCTAGCACATGATAATCAATAAATATTAGCTATTTTTCAATTAGCAATCATTGCGCATCAGATAAACCTCATTGGCTACAATACTGTGCAAAGCTAATATTAGTTATTTTTGTTAGCAATGATTAAGAAGTAACACCATAGAACAAGTCCTATACCAAGTGCCCCTTTGTGGCCTAGTGAGTGAGAAGAAACAAAGAGCTATAAGGGTCTGGGAATGTATTTAGCTCAGTGGTGCCGTTGCCTGCCTCTTAAGTGCAAGGACCCCAGTTTGATCCCGGTATCAAAAGGAAAAAAAAAAGAAAGAAAGAAAGAAGAAGATATAGATACATTGAGACAATGCCCAGTATCTGGAGAAAGACAACCTGTAGCAAAGATGAAACGCCAGGAGTGCTTGGCAAACACAAAAGAATTTGCTCCCAGAGGGGCTGAAATTCAAAGGAGTAGAAAAGAATTATTATTACCTTAAAAACATTCAAACCTATGGCAAGGGATTTAGCTCAGTAGCACCATGCCTGCCTTGAAAGCACAAGGTCCTGAGTTCAATCTCCATTCCAAAAAAAAAAGTTCAAACCTAAAAAAAAATGCGTCTTCTCTTAAATCCTACCAGGAGTATGTGTAAACAGTGAAGTTAGGCCATAAATAAAATCAAGCTCGAAATAAATCAATCAACATAAAACAAAGGAGGTGTCTGTTGATTGGTAAAGAAACTAGCCAGAAAAGTTGGCAACATTTATTTTATAGTAAATGCAAATTCACACATTTATAGACTCTCAAATGCAATGTAAGGCAAGTTATACATACCTTGGTAATTTGAAATGCTACTAAAAACAAAATCAGTCTACTCTAAGGTTTAAAATGCAAAAGATGGCAATACATTATTCTACATTTCCAAAAGTGATTTTTCTTAATCAAGGTAACACATTAGGATTCTGAAAACTGGAAAGTATGAGAAAGTACTGAGTTACAGGAGGGGAAATCACCATACAAAAATCACTGTGAGGTTTTGCATGGTCCTTCTAATCTTTTGAATGCGTTTTTTTTTTTTTCATTAGACTTCCCCTATTTATCTTCCCCTATTCCCTTATTCAAGCAGGATACGTTTCAAGACCTCCAGTGGATGTCTGAAATCATGGATAGTGCAGTTCACTTTATTTGTTTTCTATACATACATACCTGTAATAAAGTTTAATTGTAAATTAGGCACAACAAGAGATTAACAATTAATAATAAAGTAGGGCAATTTTTTAAAAAGTTAAGCAAATGTGATCTCTCTCAAAATATCTTTTCATTTAATATTTTCAGACTGACTAATGCGGGTGATGCTGATAAGGACTAGTGTATACGCAATACTGTGTTGTTCTAGCATGTTATGTTTCAGCATATTCTATCATAATTATGTCCTGAAACATTAATACATGAAGAAACTTTGATAACATATGATAGAAATATTTTCTTTTCCTTAATGCTAAAAGTTATTGAACTAAGGGTGAAGACTTGCTCTAGGAAGACCTTTATAATTTGGGTGAAGTTACTTTAGTAATAAGTATCCTCCTTATACAATTTCACAAGTGTAAGATCAACTTTTACTCCCAGGACCACATGTAACTTGTCAGAATTTTATGTGCCACTCTGACTAAAGTAAATGGAAAAAATGCCATTGTGTATTTGATTTATGCTAGTTATACTGCTTTGAAAGTATATTTCATATTAACAAAAAAGACCAATAATAAAGAAAATTAGTATTGCCATTTTTATATATGATGCTGGTTAATTTTCCCATTCCCCTTTGGCTAGGTGGCCACTTTAAGATGATCTGAAACAAGATATTTTTCCACATACATGGTGAGTCACAAGAAGTATAGAGGATCTACATGCATAGATTTTTACTCTGTACAAAACATAATCTAAAACTAAATTACCCTTTAAAATACAAAATTTACTTTTATTAAATGGATGATGTGTATGCATAGTATATTTCTTATTTTTCTATTTCCTGTGTAATGCTTTAAGAATATTAAAATTAATATATGCTGTTCACTAGCAAACTGGATCTAATAAATATATACATCTTTGTTAATTACCATCCATATGGTATAAACATCTCAAACTCTGTTGTCTTTCAAGAAATAGAGACTGCCTTTCTCAAGTCAGAAAGGAAATCCCTAAGCTTTCCTGAAGGGCAAGGCTGGGAACTGTTCAGAACTCAATTCCCAACCTGGTATTTTCCCAAAAGCAATGCTTAGAAAAATTACTAAGGTTTCTCCCTATCCTCAGAGCTAGGCATAGAACCCAGGGCTGTGTACTTGCTAGGCAAGTGCTTGCTCTGTCACTTCGTTACACCCCGAGTGTTTTTTTATTGTTGTTGTTGTTAAGCCTAAATATGATCTTGCTAAACAATGCCTTGCTAAGAACTCAAAACTTTTACAGAAACACAAGGGTAGTGTCCCCATAAATCAGGCAATTTTTCAGTTAAAGGAGAACCTTGGTTTTCTAGAAAATGCAGGAAATTAGGAATAAATCAAGAACTACTTCTAGAGCCTGTTGGTATATCCTAATTCACTTATTCAAGGGGCCTCAGATTCCACATGTGAAAACTTAAAGACTAAATTAGTTCCCCTCCTTGATCTTCATAAAGCTCTAAACACTGCCTCTTCCTATAACCCTGTTAAGCTTCCATAACTCAAGAATGGGGGGCGGGCAGAATAGGTTCTGGACACGATTTTGAGAATTTTCAAAGCATTTTAGTTCAAAATTCGACAGAACTGCCACTTTCAGGTAGCAGTTACATAAGGGGGGATGGCAACCTGCCTTACTGATCAAGGGTGACAAACTTTGCGGGATAGCTAGGTTATGGCCAGCCCACCCAAAGGAGGGTTAATCACAAACTAGGCCAGGGTCCAGGATCTGGAAGGCCAGGGTCCCCCAGTAGGTGCAAGGTCGCCCTTGTTGCTGGGCCCTCCAGGTGTCCTCAGAGCCCTCACTTCAAAGTACGCTCTGCTCCGGTCCCAAATACTCCTCCCTTCACTCTAGAGCTCTTCTCCATCTCTAACTCCCCAAAAGGGCGCCGACTCTCGCACCTCTGGAGCGGGGATGAGGGAGTGCCAGGAAGAGACTGCCAGAGGTACAAAATGCGGCCACAGAAGATGCCAAAATCTTGTTTTTTAAAATTCTAATCCAGCTGCAGCACCTCCAGTGAAAAGACCTTCTTGGGCCATCTGTCCGGGAGCGAGAAGCAGGCAGCCGCAGTGGGTTGGGGGTGGGGATGAGGGAAACGAGGTGAGAGGTTCTTACCCGCTGCAAAGCTGGCAGCTGCGGGCCGCTGCCGGTGGCCCCAGCACCGGAGGCCGGAGGCGGCTGCACGGAGCCACAAGGAGGCTGCCATGC